CGGTGTGAAAGGGGTTATGTCTATAGGATACCTACACGGAAATATAAAAGTACATAAAATCGAATACCCACTACGTTATTTCACAGATCCCAACCCCTATCTACAAGCTGCCAAAAATGCCTTCATTATATCATTACTCTATGCATACATACCAATTATAGCATCTCATCAACTCATTAACACTTTCACTGCTACTCATTTGCCCAGTGCTGCCCCGATCCGGCCAGCCATTTTTAAAGAAAATGCCAAATTTCAACCTACATATTTTATTACACAGAAAACTGGCACCAGTGTGTTTTACAGCATTCCATTTTCATGGATATACCTGGGAATGACTTACCAGATTAGTAATGGGTATACACATGATATCCTTTGAAGCATTGTCCTTTCTGAATTTACGATAGATGGCGCAACGGGCCACTCATACCGGCGGTATGCAAAAAACGTAGGTTTCCATACTTAGCCAGCTGGAGCAAGATAACAAAAACGAAGATCTCCGTAGTTAGCAGCCGAAGTGTTAATTCCTCCAAATTCTAAAAACTACACGACCAAATCACGATATTTTAGCGTCACTCAACTTTAAAAATTTATTTACATAACGTCACCGTCGATCAACCTATCGACATAATCCTTAACTCTTTGTAGAAAAATAATTCCATTTCACCTCCATCCACCAAAACAAATTTCCTTTTTTTCATGCCTGCACAACTAAAGTCCCATTCTAGAAAGTGTCTACCATCATTTTAAGTTCTTTGTTTTGATTATTGTCGTTCCAATGACTCTTTCTGATGAAGTGCTGGACGAAAAAGGCCCCTTTAAAAGAATGCTTTCATTTATAAAGCTATATTTAAAATTTGTAGTAAAGATTTTAGCTTACATACATACATACATACATACATATATATATATATATATATATATATATATATATATATATATATATATATATATAATATAATATAAACCTAAAAGAGCCAGGTAAATCTACCTAGGTTACACCTAAACAGATCGTCAGGGTAAATCTGGTCAGCTTTACCCTGAGGATCCGTTTAGGTGAAACCTAGGTAGGTTTACCTGGCTTTTTAGGTTTATATTAGGTTTGCTCTACTTCGTCTGTTGAGCACTTTACGTAGTTAGTTTTACTCGTTTTGAAAGTTTTTTTCTTAGTACTCTGAGCTTGAAATCTGGACGATTGTTTACGCCTTAATTTCATGTTCTTTCTTTTTTTATTCCTCATTTTTCTTTGGGTACTGGTTTGTTCAACTACAAGCCAACATACCCAAGGTTTTTCCAATGAGTACCACCATATATATATATATATATATATATATATATATATATGCTATGGGTAAAATAGCAGGACAGACTGGGTTCTATAGCCTTGGATGGCAACTGGTCTAGGAGAAGGACAACTCTGAATTCAAAACCTGCGGAGGGTCGTTTGGGAACCTTGTGGCATTCGGTGCACCAGGTTTCTGTATTCGTCCCCTCCAAAAAGTGTGGCTGGTCCTGCACGAGGCCTTCACCACTATAATCAAATCTCATGTGCCGATGTCGGGATGTCGGTTTCCTGAAACTTATCGGCCTGACCCTCATACGTCGAACTCGACGGGAGAGTCGATTTATATATATATATATATATATATATATATATATATATATATATATATATATACTAACTTAAAAGTCGTCCAATCGCATTTAAGCTAGCTCGTGTGGAGCCTTAATCACAATAGGTAGGAGGAATGAATGTGATAGGCAACAATAAACTACAGAAGAACTTAAAATTTAAGTTTTGCATTAATATTTAAGCTTACCTTTTAAAAGGTCAACGATAATTCTTCCGCTGTCACTTAATTTAGAGACAATTTGATATACGTAGCTCCTTACTTTCCATGCAAGCGATTATTTTTTATTTCATGGATGATTTTCGCTGGATTTCGCAATTAATTTTGATTGTTCCCAAATTTATTTCCAAGTTACGAAAATTGGTATCACACAAAAATCCATCGCAAAAATTCACGTAAAAATATCGCCGTAAACAATAGCTCTAATTAAAATTTGGGAATCCAAACTTTTAGGATTAGAGTCGGCCTGATTCCAAAATGGTATCTTATGTTGGGCTACGGCCTCGAGGAGTAAAATTGAAAACTCGGACAATTTTATTTTGAAACACTGTAATTTGAAAACAGTTTTTTTTTTTTCATTTAAACGTGACCTATCGAAAGTTAGAGAGTTGTGTCCCTTTAATTGTTTTATCAGTGGAAGTTAAGATGGCGGAAACAATTGCAGTAATGAAAATTTGGGAATCCAAAATTTCAAGATTGTGAGTCCGGATCCGGCCCGGAATATTGTAACTTTTTCACAGAGTCGGCCTGATTCCAAAAATTGTATGATATGCTGGGGTACTTCCTCTAGGAGTAAAATTGAAAAAAATTGACACACTGACATTTGCATTTATTATATAGATATTTCAGCGTCCGGAAATTAAGATTAGAGTGTAAAGTTAAATTCCAGCCGAGATCTTAGTGTTCCCTTTTCGCCCATACCATTGGAAATGTGAGAATCCATCACATCCAATCTTCCTTTAATAGCACAGCAGCCTGTGTTCTCTAATATTTGCTGGCAACCAATCTATGAGAAGGACAGCGCTGGATTCAAAACTCGTTGAGCGTAGGGCTTGCCGAACGAATATATATATATATATATATATATATATGATATAAACTATAAGTATATAATAGTTAGTAATATAGTATATAATAGTTATTAATATAGTACAAGTATATAATAATTAGTAATATAGTATAAGTATATAATATAAACTATATATATATATAATATAAACTATAAGTATATAATATAAACTATATATATATATATATTATATAAACTATATATATATATATATATATATATATATATATATATATATATATATATAAACTATATATATATATATATATATATATACAGTTTAGAGACATTCAAATTTATATCAAACATTATAATCTTTATGAACCCCCAAAATAGCACTTTCAAAGTAAAGCAAAATAACACCGTCTGTTTCTAGCCTTTTTTTTTTACAAAGAAAATTAGTGACACTTTCTCTCATAACTTCCTTCTCTTTTCTCTCTATGGTTTTTTTCAGCTCTACCCCTTCGATATCAATATATAACTTCCGTTAAATTAACCGTTTAAATGTGTCAATGTCTGCTAATTCACTTATGTATCTCTCCCCACTCACTTCCTCACTTCGTTAATTTACATATGTTTAATACGACCCATCAAAAATGTGTAAATTTTCTTTTCATTTTTTGTTTGGAAGTAAAGTCTGATGATCCGCAGTCCTTTAAAAGAGCTGTGGTGAAATAATTTATTACATGGAACCTTAAAATGGTCTGTTTTATTTAACATATATATATATATATATATATATATATATATATATATATATATATATATATATATATATATAGTATAGGTATATAATGTAAACTATTATAAGTATAGTATATCTTTATTATAATTTTACGCTTGATATTGTTACTCCGCTATATTAATAGTGTGACGTCCACTTTCAGATAGGTGAAATTTCTTGTGAGCACTCGGGTAGAGAGAAAGAATAAAGAGAATGAATGAAGTGCATTAAATGATATGAAATGGAAATCACATGGACTTTAAATACGCGAAATTAGATTAAACTTGGGAATTAGAAAAAGAAAAAAACTATGGCCGACGTTGAGAAAATGAGTGTAGCCTAGGGTCAAACGCAGTTACTTAATAAATAGATATGAAGTTTAACCTAGTGCCAAACGCAATTAATAGATAGATATTTAGTTAGTTTAGCCAAAGTGACAAACGCAGTTAATAGATAAACAGATATTAAGAAGCTTAGAAAGAAAGAAAGAAAGAAAGAAAGAAAGAAAGAGTGTTAATGGTGAAAATGACAGTTTCCATACTGGAATTATTCGGCATTCATTGAACGAAAAGTTAGGGTTCCTTTTGTTTGAAATTTCTAAAATCTTTTACTAAAAACGGCTTTCGGCAGAAAATGCGAATTTTCATGTCCATTATTATTTTCCTTTCTAGTATTGGTAGGAATTTCATTCCAAAGTCTTCTTTTTTTTTCGGTATTGTGAAATGTTAACAGCTTTATTATATATGATAGATAGATAGATAGATAGATAGATAGATAGATAGATAGATTAGTACCAAATGCAGTTACCAGATAGATAGATAGAGAGATAGAGAGATAGATAGATGGATAGAGAGAAGGGGGGAGAGAGAGATAAATAGATTTGCGTTGTATCAAACACAGTTAATAGATAGATAGATAGATAGATAGATAGATAGATAGATAGATAGATAGATAGATTACTACCAAATGCAGCTACCAGATAGATAGATAGATAGATAGATAGTTTCGCATTGTATCAAACACAGTTAATAGATAGATAGATAGATAGATAGATAGATAGATAGATAGATAGATAGATAGATAGATAGATTAGTAACAAATGCAGCTATCAGATAGATAGATAGATAGATAGATAGATAGATAGATAGTTTCGCATTGTATCAAACACAGTTAATAGATAGATAGATAGATAGATAGATAGATAGATAGATAGATAGATAGATATATAGATAGATAGATAGATAGATAGATAGATAGATAGATTAGTAACAAATGCAGCTATCAGATAGATAGATAGATAGATAGTTTCGCATTGTATCAAACACAGTTAATAGATAGATAGATAGATAGATAGATAGATAGATAGATAGATAGATAGATACTGTAAAATACATGGTTAAATTTGAATTGATTTATATGAACCGACGAACGGATAGATTATTGCAATCAGCCGGTAAGAATATTTGTACATATGTGTGTGTGTGTGTGTGTGTGTGTGTGTGTGTGTGTAAGTGAACTTTTATATTCTATCACTCTGTGTCTGTGTGCGCGTTGCCCATAACCGATCAGAGACACTCGCATGTACTCACGTATACTGAGACGGCAAAGAAAACAAAGAAATTCCCTCCCACTCCTCCTTTTCTTTCTTTCTTTTTTTTCTTTCTTTGGGTTCCCCGTCGATTTTTCGCCTTTCTCTTCATTGGCTTGCCACCCACCGAATTTGCCAACAAACCTGACCGACAGACAGACTGCTAACACTACGAATAGGCCTGCTGAATCTGCCTCACATCTCTCTCTCTCTTTCTTTCTCTCTCTCTCTCTCTTACTCTGTTTCTCTTTCCCCCAACTCCTGCTGATGTGTCTCTTCCCTCTGTTTTCGATCTGCTTCGGTTTGTTGATCAAACCCTCACTCTCTTTTCTGTTCACATTTCCTACGGTTTTCTGAGCATAAACGAAAAACGAAAAGAAAAATAAGAGAAAAAATAAACTCCATCCCGTCTCAAAAAAAAAAAAATATCCCGAAATTCTGCGATTTCAATTCAAGTTGTTGGATAGCCTGCCATTTTTAGTCACCTCCAGTCGTGATTCTCCGCCTGTCGTTGCAACCAAACCCCTCACTCTCTTTTTCTCTCTCTCTCTCTCTCTCTCTCTTCTTTCGCGTTTTCCCGCCTTCGACGATACATCTTCCGTGCATCTTACTCTCCATTCTCATCAGCCTTGCTCTCCTTTCTCAAATTCTTCATTTCCTTGAAAACTCTACAGCCCCCCACTCTCTTATTTGGTCACTTTCTCTCTCTCTTGCGCTATTGGCCACTACCTGTGAACATTCGTTGATGGGGCCCACCCGGTTTGTTCATATCCTATCTTACCTACCCGCCGACATTTGTTTGAAGTCTATGCACCCCGGAAACAAACACTTGCACAGACAGTAACAAAAAAAGAGAGATGTTTCTAAACATTCGCATACAGAGAAAATATTAACAAAAACAATCAAAAAAAAAAAAAAAAGAAACACACAACATATTTTAAATCCAGATGCATATGTAAAAAGTAATTATTCTTTATTGAGATTTCAAAAAAACTTTAACTTTAAAAACAAAAATAATATTAAGTAAAAAAAAAAGAAAACTTTTACAATTTAAACGTAAATATAAACAAACCGACAGCTTTTTTATGGTCACCAACAAAAAAAAGAAATACCAGCCGATTTCTCCAACTGTTTATGATACATGTAAAGTGGTTACCTGTACGAAAAAGGATTTTTTTTACTTATTTTGCCAGGAAGAAAACATCAGCACGGAACAAGGAAATATTTACAAAACCAGCCATCATTCCAATATACAGATAAATGTACACCACTAAGTTATTTATATAAAAAAATTCAATTTACATCCCAAATAAATTTTAAAATAGCCACACCTACGCCCGCACAGACACGTAAATACACACTGTATCAACAAACAAAAACACACACACACACACATATAGATAGATAGATAGATAGATAGATAGATAGATAGATAGATAGATAGATGTATGCATTAAACATCAAATAATTCAAAAACACAGGGTTACATATACAAACGATCTACACAATCACCCTTTCTCGCATCTATATAGTGACACGAATATATACAGTTATTATTTTGTGTTTTGTTATTTGTGTTTTGTATATATTTATTTATTACAAGCACTCATACATATATAATTTGGAGACACCGATAATAAAACCAAAATTCAGAATCGAAAAAAAATTGCTTTGATCTCGGGCGAATCAAATGATTATTTATGATTTTAATTGTTAGTAAAAAAGGAAAAAAAAAAATTTCATGCTTAAACAAGTACACAATAGAAAAATCGAATCACCCGAAACGGAAGTGGGGTACCACGGCTGTGGAGGAAACATTCGGAAAAGACTATAAGGTAAGTTGAACTTTATATTTGTCTGTTTGTTTTGACATAGAGAGGTGTCTTTTGAAATCTCATCAAAGACTTTTTGAACGCTACAACGGAGCATACGTCACTTCTTGCCCGGACAAATGGATTGCTGTTGTAAATTTTATATAAACACGTCCGCCTATCCTGCTTCTGAGTGGTCGTAAATATTTCTCCCTACTCAAAAGGGGGTACTTTATAATCGGATGAAAATAAAAAACATTAAATTCTATAGGATTTGACTTATTTTCAACACCTTCTTATCAACTGATTCGATAGGGCTACGAATGATTTATACATATATATATATATATGTGTGTGTGTGCGTGTGTGCGTGCGTGCTTAAGGAAATGTGAGTTTCTCTGTGTATTTGACTGTAAATATGTGTATGGATAAGAAAAGATAAATACATCACGAATCTGGGTACTAAACAAGTACAATATATAAGCAGATTTTTATAGGTAGATGTGTTATAAAGACATATATATATATATATATATATATATATATATATATATATATATATTAACGATGTATGCATTATACAGATATATGAGAAACATGTACACATGCACCCCACACACACACACACACATATATATATATATATATATTTACAAACTCTTATTTAGATGAGGCACAAA